CCTGCAATATATTGACTATATGAATATATCACTCTGTGATATCCATTACTCTGCTGAACACCTAATTACACCTACCCATGTACAGTAGTAGAGCTGTATTGCTACTCCTCCTCTCATCTTCTCATCTCCTCATCTTTCCTACTACCTTCTCCTATTGGTACCTTATGATTTACCACTTGTTATTTGTATTTTATGATTAATAAATAATTATGATTAATTGTTTATTAAGGGTTCGGGTTAAGGATTATGATTGTGACTATGATTTATGATCTATCACACTTGTTTGCATGCACACTGAGACCTTATGTATTAGAGACAAATTACTTCTGTGTCCAATCACACTTGGCCATTAAACAATTCTATTCTATATCTAATAGAGCTTGTAATCCTGAGAAGATTGTCAGATCCGGAAAACTACCATTCTTCTGGGGATGACGGGAGACCCTGGTTATGTTCATACTTTATTATACTTTAATACTTTATTGCTTTCTCCCCTATGTATCCTGTATCCCATTGATTTATAACCTTTAGCCTGGTACCTGGCATTTTCTCACCTTTTGGGGAATGTAAGGGGAGGGAGGTCCATGTGGGTTACATCACTAGAAGATCAGCAGAGGATGACCCTGAGAAAGTTCCCTCATCACTTTCTCAGGGCAGCCAGTACAATAACATTTTCACACATGTGGATTGGCTGAATCCACACAGGACTTTGGGGAGGGGTTTCTAATTTCTTTTATTCTAACTGTATGGCCTGAGGGGTCTCAGAGCTGGCTTTGATTTCCCCCTTGCTATAACTCCTGTTCAATAAAAGTTTCCTTTTCAAATGCCAGGTTTCGAGAGTCTTTACTTTCTTGAATAAGGAGCAGAGGCCAGGCCTTACACAGATATTTGTTTTTCTGGCAAATATCAAATTAGCCCTAATTACGTTCATTCCATCTCCAAGTCTCAAGGGTATTTCGTTAACCAGCAGCAAAATTAAAACGTGTTAGAGAAGCACCTTGTTATTATTCTACAATGTAAAGAAGCAGAATTTATATTTCTGTTGGTGTTGTTCTTTAATGTTCTTGGTTGGTACTGTAAACCAGCCAAGTGGTCATTCAAGTTGGGCTGTGCTATTCAGCCAAGAATCTATTACAAGAAAAAATACAGCAAATGAAAGACTGCAAAGAAGGAATTCTATCATGCAAATTAATGAAGCTGTCTATATTGCTCTTAATGCTGTTGTTTAGGGCAGTTTCAGAGATTCCTAACATGAATTGCATTGTTGGTGATCCTGTTCCAATTCTTCATAAATACTATCAATCAGGAGATGTCATTGTTGCTGGTATTTTGTCTCAAATCTATATATTTTCAAACACAATGCACTTTCACAAAAAGCCTTCTACTGACCTTTTCTATGATACTGAGTAAGATGCTCATGTATCTAAAACTAATTGTTGAGAAGACGGGTTTCATTTGTGCTGGTTCTATATTGTACTAAACCTGTTCTGTGAAGACGGAAATTGTTTAAAAATATGTTGGATGTAAAAGTTAATTCAGCAACAATGAGAATAAATAGTTCCATTCAATCTCATTCATGTAGTTGAATTCATAATTCTGATATATCAGANAAGTGCTTTTAGAAAATATGCATCAGCTGTTATTAAGCGGAATAATGTGACTGCTTTAAAAGTGTTTAAATTTATTTTCCATAATTTAAGTAATGAAGATAGTAAGGTATTTTCCAGGTCTGACTGAATTCTCATGTCACTATAGAGGTTGTGCTTCACAAAAACCTTTATTGGCCTGAAATACTGGAAGAATTTGTGACACAGGTCTGTGATATTTATGCATTGCAATAGGAAAATAATTTTTGTTATATGATTTTATGTTTGGTTGCAATAAAGCTACTTATGTAGTCATTGCCTGAGAGTCTTTTTTCATTAATTTAGGTCTTTGAATATTGAGAAAACTTTTAAAAAATGCAGTTAATGTGGACATGTAGGAAACAGAACACTATTGTATTTTCTGCCTTCTAGCCTCAACCTCCAATATGAGAAATTAGTTTTTAATTCCTTGAAAAGCATAGATCTGTATTTTACTCAATCAAATCACTTTACACATTGGAGACCAGGTGAATTACCCTCCTTTAAATTATTACTGGGGATGTTGTTGAAATATTCAATATATCTTCTTGTGTGTCTTGAGCTTTCTCTGTCTTTAAATCTTGATTTTGGAAAAAAGAACAACTTCACATCCTATTATTTATTCATTAAGCAAATTTACATGGCTGATAAGGTAACAGTGACTATTATATCCAAATTTTCATGATATATTATTTAGGCTATAGCTACAGCAACCATTATGCCATAGCTTTGATAATCATTATCTACTGTATATTCAATACATGATGCCAGTTTACTGTCAAAATACATCTCCTTCCTACTGAATTTATTATAATTTTATACTGCCAGTCATTAATTCATTTCAAAACTTCAGATTCTTCAAATTGATAGATGGCCCAGATATGTCTTTTCTTAGTACTTCAACATCCCACTGCTTCATTTGTAGATAAGCACATCTTCTTTCTTTGCATAGTACATAATCTTTTCGGTGGTGATGTCTTGTGCGATTGCTACCAAACCTTTGTTGGTGTTCTAGACTGAGAGAGTGTGTCCAAATCTTTATCTTTAGGAAAAGGAGGAAGTTCAGATAATCCAGTCCTGAGATAGATATATTGTTCACGAAGTATTTCCTTCCTTTTAACTGAACAAAGTAACACAAAGAGCTATAGTAGAGGTGTCAAACTCAAAGCCCGGGTGCTGGATCCAGCTCATGGAATGCTTAGGTCTAGCCTGCGGTGTTGCCCCAGAAACAGCAAAGGACCAGTCCACAGTGCCTCTGCCAGCACCCATTCCACCCATACCGACCCTATCCTCCATAGGGTCCTAAACGCCGTATGCTGGGGCTGGACGGCGGACACTCGCTCTGCCGAGTTCCTGCCATTTTTCCGCCATCAGGACGAGTTGTCCGTATTGCAGGGCTGCCTCCTATGGGGATCGAGGGTGGTCGTCCCCGCTTTCCTTCGCCAGCAGGTCCTCCACCGTCTCCACAAGAGCCATCCAGGCATCGTGCGAATGAAATCCCTTGGTCGCAGCTATGTATGGTGGCTCTCTATGGATGTGGACATTGCAGGCTGGGTTTCATGGTGCCCTTCCTGCCAGGCTGTCCGGCCCCTCCGTGCCGTGGAGCTGTCTCCACGTGGATTTCTTTGGCCCCTTTTTCTGGTTGTAGACGCCCTATCCAAGTGGGTAGAACTGTTTCCCATGTGTTCCACCACATCAGGCACCACCATCCAAATTTTGGAAGCCATTTTCACAACCCACGGCATTCCCGACGTCCTTGTCTCGGACAATGGACCTCAATTCACCTCTGATACTTTCCAACAATACTTGGCAAGCCTGGGCATTCGCCACGCTCAGATGGCCCCTTACCACCCCGCCGGTAATGGCATGGCTGAACGGGCTGTCCGCTCAGCCAAAGAAACCCTAGCTCGGCTGAGTCACCTGCCCTGGCCTGCCAGGCTTCAGGCATACCTCCGTGCCCAGCACTCTACTCCATGCCAGGCATCCGGCAGGTGCCCTTCTGAGATCCTCATGGGCCGCTGGCTCCGGACCACACTGGACCGTCTCCACCCTTCTTACGCCCCCTCAAATCTCCCGTTGCAGGAGCCCCCACGGTACTTTCTGGTGTGGGAGGGGTTTTTCGCACAGAATTACACAGGAGAACCCAAGTGGCTTCCAGGTGTAATAACGGAATTAACAGGGCCCTGTTCTTACAGAGTCCAACTCTGTGACGGACGACTTTGGCGGCGCCATATAAATCAACTGCGCCGCCGCTAGACCTCACAGTTGCAATACCAGCCGGCCGCATCAACTCCGCAATCGCAATCAAACGCTGCACACCTGCCACCACCAGCATGCCCCGGCCTCCCCGGCTGCGTGCTGCCTGCCGAAACCGCAGCCAGGAACTTACCTTTTAATGTTCATGCTAGTCCAGGGGCTGGGCCTTCAGCTCAGCTGCGTCATGACAGCGTACCTCCTCCAACGACGACTATGGCGGACACTCCCAGACTGAGGCATTCCCAGCGCATGCACAGAAGACCACAATATCTAAAAGATTACGCATGCGCAATCCGGGGGAAAGGAGTGTTGCGTCCGCCCGGACGCAGCCGACAGCCACAGTCAGAGCCGAAAGAAGATCCAATTGGCTCTGGCGCAGCTGCCGGCCGGCGGGAGAAATACCGCCACCCGATTGGTTCCCAGCCTCACAGCTGTCAGTATAAATAGCTGTCAGGCAGGCATTGTTCTGTTCTTCTCCTGTTCTTGTTAGTTGTTCTAGTTAGAATAAAGCTTCTTTGAAGAACCCTCTCCTGCGTCTGTCTGAATTTAAAAATTTTACTCCAATCCAATTGAAAAGAAATATAAACCTCAAAAATTTGATATGGAACACTATGGAATACTTTGCATTTTTATTTATTTCTAAAGACTTTTGGGTCTTTTCCTTATCCAGGGAGCATGGATGGAGATGGCTTTTGATGAAAGATGAATATATTCCTGCGATATATTGACTCTATAAATATATCACTCTGTGATATATTTCATCACTCTGCTGAACACCTAATTAGGCCTAAAGGTTTTTACCCATGTACAGTAGTAGAGCTGTATTGCTACTACTCCTCTCATGTTCTCATCTCCTCATCTTTCCTACTACCTTCTCCTATTGGTACCTTATGATTTACCACTTTTTATTTGTATTTTATGATTAATAAATAATTATGATTAATTGTTTATTAAGGGTTCGGGTTAAGGATTATGATTAATGATTGTGACTATGATTTATGATCTATCACACTTGTTGTTTGCATGCACACTGAGACCTTATGTATCAGAAACAAATTGCTTTTGTGTCCAATCACACTTGGCCATTAAACAATTCTATTCTATATCTAATAGAGCTTGTAATCCTGAGAAGATTGTCAGATTCGTGAAACACACACACACACACAAACCCTTTCTTTTTTCTATGAACAGTTAATGAAAACATGTGAAGAATGTATGTAGATTTTCCTTTAGTGAGAAATGAACAAATATGCAAAAAAGTATGGGAAAGTTTTTTTTTCCCAACATGCAAAGAATCCATTACATGATTCATTTTCAGCACATGCAATGCTATACCAATTTAACTCATCCCAGATAATGTCATCAAGTTCATTTTTAATTCTATTCAGTCAGCTGCACATTCTTGGTTTATCTCTCTTTATTTTCTTTTGAGTGTGACCATCAGAATTTGATTTTTAATGTGTATCAGTGTGTTCACAGAAAAAAAGTCAATATCTTTATTCTTTATAGAATATCTTTATTCAATATCTTTATAGTTATCTTTATTTTTTCCAAAGCATTTTTTTACCTTTGTAAAACATATGTTCCCTTTTGCCATAGCAAGGCATCTGGTTCTCAGCACATTCAATCTACAGGATTAGAGAAGTTGATTTCAAATCTCCTTCATATAAGCAAGAAATAGTGTGTTTGTGTGTATGTGTGTGTGTATGTGTATATATTTATCTAGCTATTTATTAATTCTCTAACACAGTTTTTGTTTATGTGCTATAGTTCACCTATGGCTCTGCTTCTGAGATTAACAGGAAATCTCAAGCTATTTTCTATCACCAGATGTTTCCAGATGTACACAGACAATATAAAGGGATTCTCCAGTTACTGTTGCATTTCCAGTGGCCATGGATTGGGATATTATATGACAATGATAACAATGGAGAGAGATTTGTCGAGGATGCACTTCCTATGTTTTCAGAGAGAGGAATCTGCTTTGATTATATAGAAAAATTCCCAGTAATTACATCAGTTAGTGACATTGATAAGATGGTGGGGAGGTCTTATTATTTTTGATGCGCAGGAGGCAGCGAGCAGGGTCACCTCATGGTTGCTGCTATGTTACAATATTTTTGGGAGGGCATATTTTTGGGGGATGACTTATTTTAGCGCAAGTGTTCAAAAGCCCAATTGGGATTTGTATCTGAGGAGATCTTATTTTGGGGGAAACAGGGTAGTTTGCACTAAGATTTTTCATTTTCAAATAACCACTTTGTATTTTATAAGGCTTGGTTTCTGGGTTCTCATTATATAAAGTTTTGTTCCTCTATAACTGAAATGGAATTAAAGTTTTAATTACATAAAAACCAGTCTCTCTAGGTCTGTCAGATTTTTGTTCAATCCTTGAAATATCTGCTGATCTAAAGCCAAATACATATAACAAGGTAGCAATAGCAATAGCTCTTAGATTTATATACCACTTTATAGTGCTTTATAGCCCTATCTAAGCGGTTTACAGAGTCAGCATATCACCCTCAACAATCTGGGTCCTCATCCTCAAACGGATGGAAGTCTGAGTCAATCTTTAGCCTGGTGAGATTCGAACTGCCAAATTGCAGACAGCTGACAGTCAGCAGAAGTAGCCTGAAGTACCACATTCTAACCACTGTGCCACCATGGCTCTTAAAAACTGAACAATGAAGTGTCTGCATTTGCAGGATTGAAAATCTCTGCTGCAAAGGGCAGCCTCCAGCTTGCAAAGTGGGGAAGGAAAACTGTTTTCAACAGTTCCCAAACTTGGAATGATACCTATGTGCACTGGGCATGTGTGTGTGCATGCACAACACAACAAAGGAAAGGTCCTTCTCCTGAAGCCCAGGCATGATTGCCAGCTTGCCAGCTCAGATACAGATAATAGTCCACAAGACCCAAAGAGAATTTCATTCCAATAAATCTAGAAAATGAAACCCACCAAATTTTTGTAGGAAGCCCCCCCATCTCCAGATTAAAATGTTCTTTATTTTTAATACTTAAAAGAAGCAGGATGGAATATTTTCCCTAAAGGAGAAATGGGAAAACACATCTTAACAAAGGTAAAAAGCAGCCTCAGTCTTCCTGCCATAAGAAAACAGCCTCAACAGCTTATAGAGGTTGATCTTCAGGAATGGAGATTTTGTATCTATTCACAAAGACTGGGCCAGCCTATTCATAAGCAAAGGGACTTCAAATAAGCAACACAAAAGCAAGCCAAAGCTGACAAGATTAGCTCAGACAAAAAACTAGGATTTGTACTTTCCCTTTTGCCTGTAGAGACAGCCATGACACCTACATGATGCCATAGGAATATGGCAACAGCCATTAAAATATTGAAGGACGTTGTTCTGACCCAGGTTTCTTTAACAAGCAAGAAGTGGAGTCTTGGTCCCGGCAAAACTTCCTTTCATTCACAATCCACAAGGCTTATCAAACAGTCTTTCAGAGGGCTGTTGAACCTTATGTCATTTGGCAAGCTGCCAAATAACTAGTTCCAAATACTAGTTCCAAATAGAACTTTCCTCTCTTGACACGACCGAAGGAACTTATTGTTTCCAGCAAAAGTCCACTTCCCGTTCACTTCTCTTTTGTTTCCTATGGGAGGGGCCACCGAGAGCAAGGCCGCTTGAGAACGCCGCGGTTTGCAAACGCCGCGGCCTAGCGGTCTGGAGGAGCCATCAGCCATTGGCCGCGATTACTGAGGCCACCTGAGAGCGCCGCCAGTCCAGCCGTTGAGAACGCTGAGGCCCCGTGAGAACGCTGGGGCCCCGTGAGCTGGGCTGTCACCAGGGGTAGGCGAACGGCTGGCTTGCCATCACCACCGCAGCCTTCCCCCCCCCCCTCGACAGCTGCGCTGCGCTTCGCCCTGAGGGAGGGGTGGCTGGATTCCAACGCCAAAGTGGCTGGGCTGGATGGCTGGTTTTTGCCGCTGCCACTACAGCTTCCCTTAGGCCACTTTTTCTCCCCCCCCCTTCCTTTTTGGTGCGGATCCTTCTCTGCTCGCTGTTCCCACTGTGGGTGGCGGACAGATGATGGCGGCGTTTTCTTCCACCTTTGGGCGCTTGCAACATCTTTTGATTATACTCGCCCAGCTCGCTGATCTCTTGGGGACTTTTCTGGACTACCATTGTTCCGGAGGAGGTGGAGACGATCTGGGCGCCCGTAGAGATTGGGCGATTTGGGTGGCTGATTGCAACTGCCGCCGCCATAGCCCTTCAGGACGCCCACCTCCTCCCCCCTTCCCCTACCGCTCAGCCTTTGTATTAACATTACCCTCGTCTTCTTCAGAGCCCTGTTTGTCTGGACTTTTTCCCCTGGTGGACTTGGAGAGTTTTTCCTATTGCCTGTTATTGACATTGTGGAGCCTCTGTCGATCTCCCCCGTTGGTCATCTGGCCCTTCTCCAGCTGGGACCTTAAACATCAAGTTTTACCTAACCACAATCCCAGGGCTTCTGGACTTGCTATCTCAGCTATCTTAGCTGTTTTGACTATCATGAGCTGCAATACTAATGCCATCTTGAATAGCACTTATCCAATTCCATCTACTAGAGTGCCTTGGTTTGTGGACAAACGGGGATGCCCACTCTGCGTAGGAAGGTCCTCCACTCCCCTTAACCGCCTTAGACTCTTGGGACCTTTTCAGCCTTACCGGAGGGGGGAAACGCTACGCTCCCCCTCTGCATACCCTCTGTGGACTGTGGCTGGGTTCTCAACCATCTTAGTCAACTTAATCGCCATAGGAAGGGAGAGGAGCAGAGTACCACTCCCTCCTTCTCCTCATTTTTGTTCCATCTAAGATCTGCGCAATTTTTAGTCTCTCCGCATTTTATGAATGAGGTGAGTATGGTGTGATTGTTGATGGGAGTGCCCACTTTTTAACTCTTATTATTATTGTAATTTTTTATGTTTTTTAAACTGTTAGTGGGGAGTGATTGGTTGTGTGACTGTGTATATCTGAGTAGGCTGGGACTTTAACCGGGTACCCCCTGCACTGAGTGCTCTGCAGAAGTGTCAGGGGGGCCTGGGCCTAATCCCAGCCTCAGGATGTCTGATTCTAAGGGCCTGCCGGAGAATGCGGGAGCTATGAGGGTGGGTGGAGGGACCATGGACATGGGAGTGGGCCGGAGCATTACGGTCTTAACAGGGAGGGGCAGATATGGCGGGGACTTTAGGGCTAGCCATTACTGGGGAAGGAGGGCTCCCTATGTCACAGAGATCCCTCCATCCGGCCCTTCTAGTCCCACTCCAAGGCCAGATGGCATGAGTAATCAGGACCCTGGTTTCAGGCTGTTGTCGCTAAATGCCAGGTCTGTGGTTCANATGCAGGAACCCTATATTTCAAGACAACTGTGTCATTTCTTCTTACTTAATATGCTCATGCGTTAATGTCATATTTATTCAATTGCATTCATTTATACAATGGTTTCCATCTAAAATCATTACTTAAAGATATTTTGGGGATATATTTCTTCATTTGAGTTATCGTATCCAATTAAGGTATTTCTAATTAAAAACTTCTAAGAGGAAAATAAATAATAAACAAAATATCACTGTAAAATCCTAATAAATTCAGAATATGACATTTAAATGGTATTTCATTGGTGCAGATATACATCAGGTAACTTTTCTTTTAATCTGACTCACTGACTAGCTATTAAGGGAAGTCATCCACTCCCAGAAGAATGTAATATTTTTAGAAATATTAAAAAGGCAGAATATTATATTTCCCTAAGGGTACACATGTTTCTAAAGACAGAAACTCTGAGCCTCAGCTCTTTGCCCCAAGTAGAAACTTAGGGGCCAACTTTTAGAAATGCAGATTTGGTAATCCATTGAAGACAGAATATTCTGAACAAAGGTAGGATTAGCCCTCAGCCACAGTAGGAATTGCCCAACAAACCCCTTCATTGCATCAGCACCTACAAAATTAGCTATAGCCCCTATAACAACCAATAGAAAACATATTCTTGCACCTGAACAGAAAACTCAAGGGCAAGGCCCCAGAGAGAGTGTAAATAACCCTCACTCTCCAATCCATGTAGTCACTTCATGTTCTTGGTGGTTATGCTTCACCATTAAACCATCTTTCCAATCAGCCTCTATGTTTCTGGTGTCTTTTTCCCTGCTTGGAACTGAACCAGATAGATATTTCTTCCAACACATGGATTTCTGGATACACATAAACAAAATTGAATAATTTCCCCCCCTAAAAGATAGCAATATCAATGGCACTTAGACTTACATATTGCTTCACAGTGCTTTTACAGCCCCCTCTAAGCAGTTTACAGAGTCAGCCTATTGCCCCCAACAACAATCTGGGTTCTCAATTTACAAACTTCGGAAGGATGAAAGGCTGAGTCAACCTTGAGACTGGTGAGATTTGAACTGCTGAACTGCAGCTAGAAGTCAGCCGAAGTAGCCTACACTACTGCACTCTAGCCACTGTGCCATCTCGGCTCTTGTATAAGAATCTTATAAAAATTCTTCATTATTAAGGTGTCATATATGAATTTCTTCTGAATTATTTATCTATGAAAACACAAGTTGCTATCGGGATTTGTAGATATGCATATTTGCAAGATAGAAAACCTTCCTCTCTTTCTTTTCTCTGTAGACAAAGCCTATTTCTCTTTGCAATGACCATTGTCATCCAGGTTACAGGAAGGCCAAAAAGGAAGGGAAACCATTTTGCTGCTATGATTTCCTTCCTTGTCCATCAGAGAAGATTTCTAATCAGAAGGGTAAGAGACAGTACATAGAGGAGTGGTTGCCCAATTGTGGTCTGGGATCATGACTGATTATCTGATGAAGTACCCAGGTTGTTGATTGTGCAGTCGTCTGTATGGAGAAACAGTTAAAACAGATCTGATTATTCCAGTATCATTTTCAAGAAAGCTATCTATAGAATAAAAGCTGTTTTCTCTTTCCCTACAGACATGGACAACTGCTTTCAGTGTCCACTAGATCATTATCCAAACGAAGAGCGAAATTTCTGCCTTCCAAAATATGTAACATTTTTTTATCTTTTGAAGAAATGGTGGGGAATGTTTTTACCAGTTTTATTCTTACTTTTTCTATCATTACTATTTTGCTACTCTGGCTCTTCATTTACAACAAGGACACCCCTATTGTGAAAGCCAACAATGAGACCCTCACCTACATTCTTCTCATCTCCCTCCT